GGGGTTTTTTCCCCCTCCATATTAATAAGAACATTGTTGGGCTATGGTTGTGGCTCAACGGTAGAACACTCGCCTAGCATGTGCAAGGCCCTGGATTCCATCCTCAGCACCACATAAAAATAAAATAAAGATATTGTGTCCAACTAAACTAAAAGAAATTTAAAAAAAAAAAAGAACATTAGTTGGGATTTATTCATGGATTAATAGGTAGGAGAGCCTAAGGTATAATTAAGGCCGTTATTATTGTAAAACTTTTTTCTTCCTCTGTACTTAAAAAAAATAATAATTTATTGGACTTTTTTGTATTTTGTTTCTGTAGTTTGAAGAAAACAGGTCTGAAACAAGGTCTTACTCCCAGCCATCTCTGCACACAGTGACTGCCAGATCTTCAAGCCTCAAGTTCAGCTTTGTCCGCCAACCTGTCTGACATGTCGGGACCCGTGCCAAGCAGGGCCAGAGTTTACACAGATGTCAATACACACAGACCCCGAGAGTACTGGGATTATGAGTCACATGTGGTGGAATGGGGGTAATTATTCCTATTTACTTCACTGTCCTCACTCAGAGTACTGAGTCTTGTGGATTCATTGAGTCAGTAAATCTTCCCAACTCTGCTTCTCCAGACCTCAAGGTTGAAGTTCAGCTTGTGATTTCTTTTTTTTTTTTTTTTTTTTTGAGCTGCAAATTTGGTTCTGTAGTAAAGAAGCAGAGGATTGTTTTGGTAAGGTAACAATTTTGAAGGACTGACTTTAAAAATCATTTTCTATGTTTCCTTTTCTCTCATTTATATATTTTGTACATGAAGGTGGTAGCTATGAGCTTGTGTCTCAAGCTAAGATTATTGCAAACAGGTGAGAATTAGTGCCTGAGAGACTTTGAAAACACAAAACTCTTACATAAAAAGTATTTTTGAGGTCAGTGAATGTTGTCCCATGCTGATACTAAAGGACGGAACAGTTCTCCAGAAAGGTGTCCTTTTTGATGAGAAGCAAAATTAAATCCTTAAACATTTGCCCTTATCATGAGACTAGGCATTTTTAACATGGAATTCAGCCCAGATTCCATTTTGAACAGTTGTAGTCTGCCTGAACAGCTGTGTTTGCCCTTCTGATTCTCTGTGCAGACTCATTTAAATGTTTGCATTTCCTGTCCCAGTGTGGCATTACATTTAATTGATCTGATCATAGTTTTGTGATAAAACTATTTTGACATTCAAGTGCAAAAGAAAGCACGAAAGCTCATAAAGATACAGCTCTGATTACATAGCCTATATAAGTGGATCACAACTGTCTCCCTGAATTGTCTGAGGTTGTATTCTTTATAGTGGTTATGCAATGATTCTTAGCAGTAAATACTTTTGTCTCTGCATAAAGAGGCACACTGTGTGCTTTAAAGATATTATCAAGAACCAGAGGTACAATACCAGTAAATGTGTGCCAGACTTCAGACTCTAGGTAATATGAACCACTATTTGCAGATTGAGTGCTTTACATTTAGTTCTGCTTGAAGTGGCACTAAACAGTCCTTTGTCATTTTTTGGCATGGTGCCATTGCTTGCTTGGGTTTGTTTTATATGCCCTCACACAGGAGGAGAGCTTTAATGAGAACTAAGAAAGGTTCCTTCCCCTAGACCTCCAGGATTGTTACATTGTCTGTTGCTCTTAGTACCTTTGTCTTCTCTTTTCACTCACTTGTTTGAGCTTTTTGAGGGAAATGAAAGACTGCTATGGAAAATAATACATTCTAAGAATAAATGAAATTTTGACCTGTTGGTGAAGCCATGTTTTTCATTCTTTACAGCATAGCCTCTAAGTTGGAAGCAAGGGCAGGAAAGGGGTGACATTTCCCTTTTTTTTTTTTTTTTTTAACCTCTGTTTATGACAATTGACATTGCTTCTTAATGATGGAGTATGAGTCAAAGTAGAGAATGAGACCCCTAACCATGGTTTATGGTCTGCAGTGTGGTTTGTGAACTTTGTAACATGGATTATTCTCCGTGTTTGCCTTGGAGAGCAAGTGGGAAATCAAGCTTATGTATTTAAAGCCACTTAACCTGCAAAGAGGCCCATCTCTAAGAGAAATACTTGTTGAAAACATACGTAACAAATTCTAATAAGAACTAAACATTTGTGGAATGTCAGTAAGGGCATAAGCAGTTTGGGATTTGAAGAAATCATTGAAAGGCTTCATTTTTCAATTTCTGGGATTTGGTGCTCCCATCCCCACTACTGGGCTCTATACTACTGAGCTATATCCCCAGCCTTTTTTTGACACAGGGGTTCTCACTAAATTGCTAAGGCTGGCCTTCACCTTGTGATCCTCCTTCTTCAGCCTCTTGAGGCACTGGAATTACAAGAATGTACCCTGGTGCCAGGCTTTTGCACTCTGTTTTTAAAAATTAGGCCAATTAAAAATATGTGGAGCCTGTTATAGTTGTGCATGCCTGTAATCTCTGGCAACTTAACAAGACCCTGCTTCAAAATAAAAAGCAGTTTGGTGCAGTGGTATTGCCTGTTATCCTAGTGGCTCAGAGGGTTGAGGCAGGAGGATCACAAGTTCAAAGCCAGACTTAGCAACTTATCGAGATCCTAAGCAACTTAGTGACACCCTGTCTCTAAATAAAATATTTTAAAAAGGATTGGGGATGTGTGGCTCAGTGGTTAAGTGCCCTGGGTTCAATCCCAGTAGCCTAAATAAGTAAATAGCACTGAAGATGAAGCTCAGTGTAGAGTGCTCATGAGTTCAATCATCAGTACGAAACCAAAATGCAGTGCAACGTTTGAAAAATCTTTTCTAACTCCTACTATAATAGAATTTTATAAGTTGACTTGCTGCTTGATAATTTGAACTTTTTAAATCATTGTGACTTTGACTTTTTTTGTCTACAGAAATCAAGATGACTATCAGCTGGTTAGAAAGTTAGGCCGGGGTAAATACAGTGAAGTATTCGAAGCCATCAACATCACAAATAATGAAAAAGTTGTTGTTAAAATTCTCAAGGTGAGTATAAGAGAGAGGATTTTAGGGGTATTTAGAATGTAGGTTTTTAAAAATAATAGTGATGCCTTTTTATAACCTCATTTGAGAGGTTTTTGGAGTGCTTTCACCCCTTTATTTTATTATATTCTCTGAAGTTGATAGAACAGGTAATCCTTGTTTGACAGATAATGACCTGAAGCAAAGAAGTGATTTGATTCAAGTCGTATAGTTATGCTGTGGCAGAGAATGAAAGTAAACACATTGTCTCCTAGGTTTTGCCTAATATTCATTTCCTAAATTTTTAATTACTGTCTATGGTTTTGTTTTCAATAAATAAATCATTACCTCTACTTTAAAAGGGTGAGAGGGCACAAAGGCAGACCTTAAAGAGACAAGCAGAGACATCAGTGCATCTAGTCTGGTATAATTTCCTGTGTTGAGGTGATGTGATAGGGACTGATGCAAATTGGGAAGCACATATCCCTTCAGAAGGAGGTCGCTACTTCTCAGTCTTTGTTTTCTTTTTGCAGTACAATTCCATTGTTGCTTAATTTCTGTTTTACAAAAAGAAGCCAGAAACTGTTGTTAATGTATGAATACCTGATTATTTAAATGACTCAAGATTAAAAAAAAAAAAAAAAAAACCTGCACAGTCCAGATTTGGCCAATGGGCTACTAATATGCAACTTGTAATTTAGTTATTACTATAGTGTGCACTATTGTTGGGAATTTATTCCATAGTTCCTTACTACAGGTAACCAACTCGGTTACAAGCCAAGCTGTTTCTAATTTACAGCAGATACATTTTTACATTGTCTAAATGGTGTTTTGTTGTTGTTCTAAGCCAAAAGAAATACCTAATGGTTCTGTATGTTAATAGGAACTTTGTTCAAATAAGTGATTGTTATTTCTTTAAATTTTTATGTGTTCTTTTTAGTGACAGTAGTCTATTTTGAACTATTTATACAAGCATGGAGTACATCTTATTCTAATTAGGATAATAAAGTGATTATATTTAACAAGTTGGTGGCCATCAAGAGATTGATACACATTCATTTAAAGAAATAATTATTTTATTCTTATGTAACCATAATTGATTGCTATTGAGATGTATATATTTCACTGCTTCTCAAATATTGGGATCTGTGTGGACACCACCATGCTCATTTCCTGGTCTACACTGACTTTTTGCATAGTACTTGCTTTTATCACAGCAACAACCTGAAAACCCAGCTTCATAAAAATAGGTCCTCAAAAAGGCATACAATACGAACAAATGTTGAAACTACGAACTATCTCAGGCTGGTAATGTACTTACTGTCTTGCTAATATCAAGTGTGATTGATGAATTTCCCTCAAAATTTAAAGTATTCTACTGTGACTCTGGGAATTTGCTAGGGTTCTTCATTACCATTTCAGAACCAGTGTTTAAATATTTATATCTGACATCACATGAAGAAAGAGAAGTAGGCTGGAAATCAGAACACTTGTGCTTTAATCCAAACTCTAATAGCAGTCAACCATTGTAGTTCATTGTGAAAGTGAGATAATTTTGTTTTACCTACCTTTCTTAGGCTTTTTATAGGGATCTGATATGAAAATGTGTATGGTGACTTACTTGGTGCCTGAAATTCTGTTATTGTAAGATGGTGTTCATATGGGAAACTATATGATAGAATGAGAGAATGTTATTTATGTCTTTTTTTTTTTTTATTGCTAAGAGTTGCTTTGTGGCCTAAAATATGGTCTATTTTGCAGAAGGTTCCATGAGCTGCTCAGAAGAAAGTGTTTTCAGCAATCTTTGCATGAAATATATGTCTTTTTTTTAAAGTTTCTTTTTGTAGTTGTAGATAGATAGCATACCTTTATTTTATTTATTTTTATTCAGTGCTACGGATTGAACCCCAGTGCCTTACACATGCTAGGCAAGTACTCTGCCACTGAGCTACAGCTGCAGCCCCTGTGTATGTATTTTTTAAAATATTTTTTTAGATGTAAATGTACACAATAACCTTATTTATTTTTATGTAGTGCTGAGGATCGAATCTAGTGCCTCACAGTGCAAGGTAGGCACTCTATCACTGAGCCTCAGCCCCTCTTTATATGACTTTTAAGGAGATGATAATACTTATTATATATATTTGAGAGAGAGAGAGAAAGTATACTATACAGTATATAGTTAGGAAAACAGGGCTAAAAATAAATTTCTAAATCACTGTTCAGTCATGACCACCAATGGCTCTCACCTTCCTAGAAAAGATAATTTCTGAATTTCCTCACAGTCTTAAAAGGTAGATGTATAAATGTCCTTCACAAACTATATTTAAAATTTTTAGGACTGGGATGTAGTTCAAATGTAGAGTGCTTATCTAACATGCATAAGGCCATATTTTGATCTCCTCAACTCAGAATTTTTTTTTTTTTCTTAAGAAAAATTTTAGTCTGTCCCTGTTTTATCCAGTAAAAGTTACAGTGATCACATTGAACTGGGGTGTAAGTCACCTACCTGGTCCATATTAAACCAATTTTAGAAGTTAGGATTAAATAAAAGATTTGTAGACCAATAATTGTTGGTTGTTTTTTGTTGTTGTTGTTGTTGTCGTCTTCGTCGTCTTGCCTTAAATCAGCTATTGGGAAATAGTAATGTAGAAAACAGGATTGATGGGTTTGTCTCTGGAGGGGAGAAAATCTCCCAGATAGGCCCACAGATCAAAAAGATCTGATCTGGTGAAGCAAAATGGGAATACTGATCACCTTGCTTCCCAGCCAGCCAGCTAATGTACTGAGTTCTCATAGGAGCAAGGTAAAGCTTTGAGTTGAATTGAATGTGGACTATATAAAAGTGACTATAAAAAAATACTTACTTCTGTTAAGTGTCAAAGGGACATACATATCACAACAACTCTGAGGGAACTATAGTCCTTTTCCACCAATAATAAAAATAAAGTTGAGAAACCTTTAGATGTTTTTCCCAAAGCCATATAGCTACAAAGCTAGGCTTTTAGGACTGTTTCTAAAACCTGCTTGCTTCCTGCTGTACCAGAACTAGAATTTAAGGTTAAAAGAGTTTTATAGTACTGTAGTTCCTGGACCTAGATCATCAACCTGGGAACTATCTAAAAATACATTCCCAGTTTCATCCTCAACATTCTGATTTAGGCCATGTGTGGTGGTGTATGCCTGTAATCCTTGAAATTTAGGAAACTGAGACGGAGGATCCCCGGGTCTAGGCCTGCCTCAGTAATTTAGCAGCACCCTAAGCAACTAGACCTGTCTCGGAATTTAAAAAGCAGGGGGCAATAAGATTTTGAATATAAGTTGAATAAAACATACTTTTAAATTAATGTCTATTTTTACTTATTTGATGTGTCTATTGAACCTTTAAGATTACACATGTGGCTTGCATCATATTTTTCTTGAGCCAGCATTGTTTTAGACTCTTCAGATAAGGCTAAACATGTATTTTCTGTGTTATGCCCAACCATGTTCTGAGATCTTTTCAGATAACCTCATTTGATTCTTGCTGGGTCCTCTTTTTACATGTAATGAAAGTCTTAAAGTAAGTTAAGAAATTTGCCCAAGGGTACACATCCAGCAGGAATGGAGATGGGGCTGGCACCGATGGCAGGCATGACTATGAAGCCCACACTTGACCCACAGGTTATGCTGCACAGAAACAGTTTGGCTGTCCTTGCTGTTGCTCCTGTTTTCTTCACATAGGGTCACACACTTAGAGGAAGGAATGAAGAGAATCAGTATTTCATCCTAGAGGATAAGAAGTGTTTTTACAGTATACTTTAGGATTACCAGCCATTTAAACTGCTAGTGTGTAAGGTTTTAAAGACTGTCAATTGAAATTAAATGCTAATTCTGTGGAAATTAGCATTTAATTATTTGGAGTGGAAATCTTTTCCCCTTTAATTCAACTTTTATAAGTACCTGCAGAGTGCCTGGCACAGTGGTAGGAGAAGGGGATTCAGAGACGTGTCTGACACATTTCCTTCCTTCAAGGAGCTCATAAGTAAGCCATTTATGTATTATCCTACCTGTTAAAATACTCTGAAATAATTGTTTTTGCTGATATACGTTTACCCTTTCAGCCAGTAAAAAAGAAGAAAATTAAGCGAGAAATAAAGATTTTGGAGAATTTGAGAGGCGGTCCCAACATCATCACACTGGCAGACATTGTAAAAGACCCTGTGGTGAGTATAGTAGGTGTTAGCAAGGCCCCCTGGGGCTGAGGTGGTCTTGGAACTGGAGCACAACTTGCCTCTTTCTATTCTCCCTTTCACCATTCAGTCTGGCATTATAAGTGCTTAATCAGATATACCATTTAACTAGCTTAGGTCTTTCTTTCAAAGAGACCTCCACCCACAGACTATTTCTTATTCTTCTAGGCTAAGAGACTGATAGCACTGGAAACTGAAATGTGTTAATCCATTTTGCAAACTCAGGTCCGATGCCGATGGGCGATGGGCGCAATGTCGGGCTGCCTAGAGCCTGGTGAGACTTCAGCTCCATGTCTTCTGTTTGAAATCCATCCCAAAAAATGACCTAAGTGTGGTGACGATCAGAGTGGGGGGGCTTGTAGCAATAAAGGGTTCCTTACTTCTGAGGCAAGGACTGCCAAATTCACCACACAGCATCCACAAACTTTGTGCCCACAGAATCTGCCAAGGCTATTACTAATGTGTGTTTTTTTTTTCTCTCCCCTAGTCACGAACCCCTGCCTTGGTTTTTGAACACGTAAACAACACAGACTTCAAGGTATAACATATAGCCAACCATTTTAAGCTGTTGGGTTTTTAGACCACATGGAAAAACCTTTTTGGGGGTGATGGTTAAAAGCACTTGCTGCTTAGTGGTTTTAAATCAGTTTTTCATCCTTATGATGCAAAATGTTTAAGACTTTAAAAAAAAATTCTTATATGATTAATACCCACTTTGCATATTTTGCCCTTTTATAATGACCCCTGTGTTTTGATCATCACTGGGATTCCTCAGAAACTTTGGGATTTCCTTTCCCCCAAGTGGTACTGGTGATTAAGCCCAGAGCCTCAAATCCCTAGATAAGTGCCCTATCACTGAGCTACACCCCCAGCCCCTTGGGCCATAAATCTTAAGAGGTGAGAAATAAAGAAGGGTGTAGTCAAATTCTATCTCTACAACAATGTCTGAATCCTAGCTCATCCAGAGACTTACTTGTTTCACAGTTCTTAATTCCACTACAACGGAAAATGTAGGTACTCTATTACAGTACAAGTTGTAAGGGTATTTGACCTGTCCTTGTACCAGTCATATGAAGACTGTTATTAATAAATGTGTGCGTTTTATTGAGAAGGAGAAAAAAGAAGAGGAACTATTTTAGAATCAGAACAATAACTTCAATATAAACTTTGTCAGAGAATATCACTAACCATTTAAAGATGTACATGTAAAAATTCTGCAACATTTTGGAGACTGAAAAGATTATATACAGCTGTTTGAATTTATTTTCAGCTTGGGACAGGAATAGTTCTTTTAAATTGGCTTAACTGGTTTGGCATTGTTCCATCTGTATGCCCACTAGTGATTTGTAGTGCTGACTGTGTAAGTCAAAGATGAGTTATTTCCCTACTAAAGAAGTTCTGTCTTTGCCAAAATGCCTTTTATAAAGGAGGTCTGAAGGTAAAGGAAAAACAAATTAAATTGTAAACATGCATTAGTATAGTAGATTTAGCTTGAGCAATATATTTAAGTAAGTAATTCTTCACTTTTACATGTAGAGATGAAGACCCAAATTCTCTTTAAGTGAATGTTATGTTGGAGATGTAGAAAGCAATGAACAGACAGATCTAAGAACAGTGGCAAAGGAACCAAGTCTTAGTTTGAATTACAATGAGTGAGAGTGAGAAATTACTTTCTTCTTAGCATTATTTTGTGGCTCAAATATTGCATTTGTCTTTGACAGCAATTGTACCAGACGTTAACAGACTATGATATTCGATTTTACATGTATGAGATTCTGAAGGTAAGGATCCTTGGATGTCAGATATCTTTTTAATTTGAATTGGTCTTACCTTTGTAAAATAGTCCCACTGATGGTAGAAAAGCCAGTGAATAAACTTTGTGAAGTGTTTTGGAAAACATATAAGTGGGTTTGTTCATTTGTATTTTTTCAGTACTGGGGATTAAATTTGGGGCCTTGTAAGCACTCTACTGCTGACCTACATCCCTAGCCCTTTTTATTTTGTGACAGGATCTCACCAAGTTGCCCAGGCTGGCCTTGAATTTTACTTTCCTTGCTCAGTCTCTTAAGCAACTGGGATTATAGGTGTGCACCACTGGACCCTGCACATTCAAGTTTTCAACAGCTAATGGTATTAAAATCTTTAGACTTTTGTAAGGGTTGTGGGGATAGGGTCTAATAGGAATATAACTTAGAATCCTTTGAAAGAGATGTTTGTAAGAGCTGAGGGTGAAACAGTTGATGTGATAGCTTCTGCTTTACTTTTATTTCACTTATGATTCAACAAGTAAAACAGCAAATGTTAACTGAGCCTCAGAGGGTCATTGTCCTCAGGATTATATAAAGCTCTGTTTAGGGATTGGTGATTGAGAGTGAACTTTGATTTCTAAAGTGGGATCATCAAATATCTTGCTCTATCAATTTTATAGAGGAGAGAGTTGCTAAGACTTGGCTAAGGTTTCTTATTAAACAGGGTTAACATCAAGCCTTTGGAGATATTTGATCTGTCCATTGGCCCATGGAGTCCTATGGCAAGTAAGGCTTCAGAAAGTTATGAATATGCTTGCCTAGTCCTGAGAATTGTGGGAATCCAAGTTGCCCTTAAGTTAGGACAAGAACTTGGGTGAGGATCACAAGTTCAAAGCCAGCCATAACTAAACAAGGCCCTCAGCTCAAAAAGGTCCAGGGATGTAACTCAGTGGTAAAGCGCCCCTGGGTTTAATCCCTAGTACCAACCCCACCCCCCGCAAAAAAAAGAAAAGAACTTGGGTAATGATATCAGTAGACTAAAAGACCAGAATTAATGAACCCCAAAGATTATTCAGTTCATCTTAATTTGGGGGTAGGAAACTTTTCAGATGGGATTGGATGACCTAGATCATGGGTTTGCAAAATTCATTAAAAGGCTGAATGGTAAATATTTAGAATTTATGAGTTAATGGGGTCTTTGTCACACCATTTGGCTCTGTACTTACGAACATAAAAGCAGTCATGGGGCTGAGGTTGTGGCTCAGTGGTAGAGTGCTCACCTAGCATGCATGAGGCCCTGGGTTCCATCCTCATAAATGTAAACTAAAGATATTGTGTCCACCTAAAACTTAAGAATAAATATTTTTTTAAAAAAAGAAAAAAAATAGTCATGCAAACAAATAGATGTGACTTTGTGCCATACCATATTATTCACAAAAACGGACAACAATCCAGATTTGGTCCATAGGCCTTGGTATTCCAATCTCTATTGTGAACTCTTAGCTGCTAAACATGTATTCTTCTTCAGATGTAAGGTTTACATATAGGCTGGTTTTCTTTTGTGAGGCCTATGTTTATGGAAATAATCTAGATTTTGGATAAGAGGTAAAATTGGAAGTGGTGCAACTGGTATATACTTTTGGGTCTTTCTGAATAGAAAGGTAGTTGAAACAACTCTGTAAAGAACAGAACTTGAGGGATGAGGTTGTGGCTCAGCTGTAGAGTGCTTGCCTAGCACGTGCAAGGTCCTGGGTTCAATCCTCAGCACCACATAAAAATAAAGGTAATAATAATAAAAAAAAAAGAACAGAACTTGAAGTTTAAAGACCTGAGTTTGCTTGACTATGGAATCCTGGGAAAAGTCTGTGAAAAATAGGTGTAGAAAAAAAAAAATAGCTGTAGAAGTGATTGTCCTAATCCTGATTCCTAGGGGTGTCTCCAGAGGATAGGAGGAAAATTTAGTTGGAGAAAAAAAAAATTAAAGAACTGTATTTTTTAAAAAATGACTTTAAAGAAATCTGACTTTTATCTGCTCCTCCCACAGGCCCTGGATTATTGTCACAGCATGGGAATTATGCATAGAGATGTGAAGCCCCATAATGTCATGATTGATCATGAGCACAGAAAGGTAAAGAGATAAATAGATTTTATTATCCGCATGATGGAATCTTCAACACTTTATCCCTAGTATCTGTTATGGTTACAGGTGCTTGTTTTTGATAAATATTTGGTAACTGACTAGATTAATTAAATCACCATTTTTAAACCATTGCCTAGGAATACTGTCAAGGAAACCGATGAGTATAGTGGACAAAATATTTGTCTAGACCAGGAAACTTTGTTTCTAGTCTTTCTTATTGAATAATTTGTTTCTGAGAAACCCTTTTCTCATTTGCCTTCTTTTTTTTTTTACCTGTGAAATGAGTGTAATGGGGTTGGAGATGTGGCTCAAGCGGTAATGCGCTCGCCTGGCATGCACAGGGCCCTGGGTTCGATCCTCAGCACCACATAAAAGATGTTGTGTCCACTGAAAACTGAAAAATAAATATTAAAAAGAAAATGTAATGAGTGTAATGATTGCCTTGTACACCATTAAGTTAAATGTGAGAATTTAAAGTACATAACTGTGGAGTGGCTGAAATATTTAAAAAATGCTAGTTTGGTTAATAAGCATCCGAGGCCTCACCCCTAACATTGCTTTACATGGGAAGTGTAACGGCCACATTTTTTGAGGTGACCAAAAATTAAGGAGTAATGAATGTTGCTTAAAAGGGTTAAGAGAAGCTTTCGTTGGAAAGATGACATCTTAGTAAACACTGGAAGAATCCCTGCCATGCTGTCTCAGGGGAAGTATGTTTCAGATAAAGGAAATAGCAAACACAAAAGCCCTGAGGCAAGAATGTGCCTGCCTGAACATTAAGAGGAAGAACTTACTTAAACTGTTTTCCCCCAGAGATCACTTCTATAACCCCCAAAAGCGTGAGGATTTGTTCCCACCAGTAAGCCAGTAATGAATTCTACTGCAGACAACATCTGGACGTTCTCTAATTTGATTCATTTCTGACCTGAAGATAACATTAGATTCCAAGATTGCCCTCTTCCCTTTTTTAGCTACTAATCGCAAGCCCCAGGTTGTTTAATATTTTGCTTCTGACTAACTGGCTTTAACTTGGACTTCCCACAACCCCTTTCTCAGAACTAGGGGAAACACATTTACTGGTTTATTATAAAGGATATTACAGAAATAATAGGTGCACAGGGCAAGGCATGTGTGAAGGGGTGCAGCTTCCATGCAATCTCCAGGCACACCACCGTCTCGGAACCTCCCCATGTTCAGCTGTTGAGGTTCTCTGAACCCTGACCTTTTGGACTTTTCATGGAGACTTTATTGCATAAGTGTGATTACAACATGGACAACTATATAGCAAAGTGATTGGACAGAAAGAGTATGGTCTAATGCTAATAGACTAAGAGGAGAAACTCATCAAATCCTGTCTGTTTGGATTCTTCTTGGCCTTTCTGTACAGTATTCCTCCTAGAAATGGCATAGGACCTCTTCTGAAATAGTGGTCTTAGGGTTAGGGTTTCGGTTAGTGTTTAACAACTCTTTCTCAGAACTCTTGCAATGTGGCCAGCTCAAACAGGTTTTCAGTTCTGTGATTCACCTTAAGAGAAATTCAGTTCTGTGGTCTTCATTGAGGAGAAAAAGGTATAAGAAGAAGGAAAGCAGCAAGAAATCTTGCTTTCTAAGTCCCACAGCATTAATTGTCTTACCTGTATTGCTCTGAAACTGCTTCAGGAACCAAGGACAAAAGGCCAGCAAAAGAGATACTCCTCATTCTAGTTATTTAAGGAATAGATATTATGGAAATCATGAGCAAGGAACTATGGAAGAAAACAAGCTTGTGTGTGTGTGTGTACATACACATATATATATGTATGCACATGTATGTATGATAATGTCACAGCCTCACATGTTAGAACAGCAATAAGGATGGAACTAGGATAAAATGGAGAAAAGAGGGAAATGAGATCAGAGCTAAAGAGAATCAAGTTATGCACATCTTAAGAGGTAATTGTCAGTCCCTGTCTCTGAAAATGGAGAACTTTTTCAAGGTCTGAGCAGAATATTGATATATTCTCACTTGCGTTTTAATGTTCATTGTACATGTATTAGAACAGCTAAAATTTTAAAAAGCTGGCAAGGTTGTGAAGAAACTTGATACCTTGCTGTTGGAAATACAAAATTTGGCATGTTTGTAGTTTGTCACTTTCTTAAACTAAATATCTGCATACCATATAATCCAACTGTGTCATTTATCTCAAAGAAAAAACTTGGGTCCACACAAAAACCAATATACATAAAATGTAGCTTTATTTGTGGTAGCTCAGAATTGAGGGAAAAAAACATGCTTCCATGGGTGCATCTCAAAAAGTTACATGCTAATTCTAAAAATGAAAGAACCAAGGAGATTGAGAACCCAGGTTACTAGGAATTGACATCACGTGAAACATCTCCGTGGTGATGGAATACTTCTGTATCTTTTGGTGAAAGTGATGTGATTAAAATTGTATAGAACTGCACACATGTGCACACATGCACCTCCATGAGTGCATTTAAGACTTATGAATTATTCCAGTATCAATTTCCTGCTTTTGCTATTGTACTTTAGGTGTGTGTGATGTTGCTATTGAGAGAAACCCATTGAGGGAACACAGATTTGCTACTATTTTTGCATCCTCCTGTGGAACTCTAATTGTTCTAAAATAAACAGTTTTACAAGAAATGTTCTGGTTGCTGTGTAGATGATAGAAGGCAACAGTAAATGCAGGGATATTACTTAGGAAAAGGGGCAAATGCAGTAAATCAGACAAGATGGTGGTAGAATGGATTGAGGAGGTAATGGTAATGGTCAAAATATGGCACAACAGCAGGACTTATTGACAGATTAAATAGGAGGTTTGAGGGAAACAGAAGTCTAAGGCGAATCTTAAAATTGGCCTGAATGGCAGGTTGCTTGAAGTCATCTTTTACTGAGAAGGAAACTGAATGGAGTTGGTTTTCAAGGGAATAATCAGGTTTAGATTTGAGATGTATACAATGACTTACTCCAGAGCAGTCAGTCATTTTCCCTCAAGGTGTGCTGCTCACACCAGAGTATAGTCATGCTTTGCCTATGGTCAAATAGGGTTATCTCTTGTCTCTACTTGTCCTTTTTCTACTTTTGGGACACATTTTGGTAAAAGTTTTATTTATATATGTGACTTGTGTAAAACTTCATTCACTCAGCAAGTATTTACTCAGTTTTTTTCCTCCTGTGTACCAGGTATTGCGTTAAATTCTAAAAATTTCGAAGGTAACTAAAATAGTTTTAACTAACTCAAGGAGTTGACAGTCCATATTTAAAATGAAATGTGGAAAACAGACAATAAAGAGTTAAAGAAGTATACCTAAGGTTCAGGGAACTAAAGGCAGTGGTTTCTTCTACTTGGGTGATTAGAAAAGACTTCATTGAGGATACTTAAGTATCCCAAAAGAAAATATTCACTAGTAAGTTGAATAGCAATAATTTAGTCCAATGAGATGGGCTGGGGATAAAGTTTAGGGATAGAGTACTATACCATGTGCCAGGCCCCACCCAGTAACACAAAAAGAAAGAAATTCGGAGAGACATAAAATTAGAGTGTCTTCATAAAGTAGATCATGGGAAAAGCTGAATGTCAAGCTAAGTTTAATTATTATAAAAGCTAATAAAGGAGTTTCAGTAAAGAGTGACGTAGGTGATTTTTTTAATAGAATACTCTAGTGGCCCAATGGAAATAGCTTAGAGGAAGATAAAGTTGCTCATGGTTTATTCTCTCTCTTTCCTTTCAGCTAAGGCTAATAGACTGGGGTTTAGCTGAGTTTTACCATCCTGGCCAAGAATATAATGTCAGAGTTGCTTCCCGATACTTCAAAGGTCCCGAGCTACTTGTAGACTATCAGGTGAGAAGAGAAGGGCAAGTACAATTTTGGTCCTGTGTTATTTTGCACATAATTTACAAATTACATCACTTTGAGCCTTTGAATAAGCCATTTATGTAAATCCATAGCAGTCACTTTTATGTGAAATGTAACATGAATCACTTTATTTCTCATAATTTGTGTTGCTTTTGTTCTCATAATGTTGGTAGAATATCAATAGGTCTGTATTTGATCCTAAATTAAGGGAAAGTATATCCAAAATATTTTTTCTAGTCAGAAATTTCAAAACTTTTGAAAATTATAAGCGAGGTTTAACCAATCTTAAGAGTAAACTTAAAAATGTTCCCTTTGCCTCTCCTAACTTGCACCCTGAATATAAAGATACACACACACACACACACACACACAAAGGTAGTGGGGCGATACCTAAATTTACCACTTTCTAAAAATCTGAAAATTCTTTGAGGTACTTTTCACGGTCATTCTTCCTAGGTTATTATCAGATGCATTGAAGAGTTTCAGACTCTGGGAGTGGGGATGTAGCCCAGTACTAGAGTGTTTGTCTTACATACACAAGATTCTGAGTTCAATCCGCAGTGCTGTTTAAAGTGGGGGTAGAGGATTTCATAAACCAGGGATTTTCTTATATAAGTTTTTTTTTAAAAGCAATTTAAAGTAGTATGTGCACATTGTTATAAAATTGCATGAATGCATAAAAAGAAAAGATAATATGCCTCTGGTTTTTCTCAGAGGAATTTTTTTTTTTTTAATAATAGACAATTTTCTGCTTTAAAGTCAAAAGCCTGGGCATTCACATATGATAACAATTACTTTGTTTTAATGCAGATGTACGATTATAGTTTGGATATGTGGAGCTTGGGTTGTATGCTGGCAAGTATGATCTTCCGGAAGGAGCCATTTTTCCATGGACATGACAATTATGATCAGGTGATATACATTGTTCCCATTAAAAAACTTATGTAGTGATGACCAGACCTGCATCCTCGTTAGAAACCTCAGTGGACTTGTCTAAAATACAGATGCTTAGCCCTCTATCCTATCTCTGAGGATAGAGAAAAGTTTTCAATTTACTGCTTATTCAGTCAACATGACATTCATCTTCAAGTTGATACTTGGTAGCCACCAACTTAGCTTTTTGAAATCAGACAGTCTTTTTTTCTCTTCCGTCTTTTTAGTTTGCAGTACTTGTTTTATTGTGAAATATACATATGAATATTAAGCATGTGTATATTTCAAAGAATTATATTAAACCAATCACGCAACTGTTATTCAAATTAAAAAGTGTACATTACCATAGAATCTCCTACTGTAAGCTTTCATTAGAGTTGGAAATATTCTCTCTTATATGTTGGTTTATATGTAATATTTCTATAGTCCATTTCTTTATATGGATTGAGTTAATACATATCAGTAGAAATAGAGATGGTGTTTTTTAGACTAACTCCACTTTCCCCTTGAAGATCAAGGGGCCATTTCATTCATGAGGAGCTAGCATAATTCTAGCACCTTGTGGAAGGTACTGTTGCCTTGTTCCCATTGAGTATTCATTTCTAATGAATAATAGAATATAACCTGACAAAGGCAGTAACTGTCAGGTGCCACGTAGGACTCAGTCTTTATCAAGTAGTTCATAGAGCATCTGTAAGAGAATTAAACAGATAAGGAAATTAATTAGAGCTGTAACTGTCAGAGTACCAAGGTACAAAGACAGTGGTGGAGAATATTCTTCATGTGCAAGGTCAGCTTCCCAATCTTCAGTTGGGTTGGCAGGGTGAGGGGTGCAGTTCCAGTAGGGGAACATTTCAAGGGGAAAGTTAAAAAGCAGTTTTTTCTAACATTTTCACATTGAGTTGATTTGAGAATTTTATGTCAATTCATTCCTGCTGCACACAAATTTGAACCACAAACTATTAGGAGGTAACATTCATACCTATAGGCATATTGGTCCCTTTCTGTTAATTTGATTGTGGTTGTTGATTTAATCATGTAATGTACTTGTGGTTTGGGTTTTTGTCTTTCTTTAATACTAGTTGGTGAGGATAGCCAAGGTTCTGGGGACAGAAGATTTATATGACTATATTGACAAATACAACATTGAATTAGATCCACGTTTCAATGATATCTTGGGCAGGTAAGTCCATAAAATCTGTGCATCTCTGACATAATTGCTTAGGTTTGAGCTGACGCTTTGGATTCTTGAAATAGTTCTGTTGGTTTTGCCAGCAATGCTAGAGTGCCCACGTTCTGGTGCTGCAGGATGCTGCATTGAACAGGCTTGTAAAGCATTGGGTTGAATGACTATTTCTCACATTCACTTAGAGGATTTTAAGTATGAGGATTGTAATAAGAGAATTCCTGTGAAATTAATGAAACGGGTTTTAGAGTAAGGGTTACAGTTGAGGCACAAATCAGAATCTCTCTTGATTTAGGTTTTAACAGAAATTTGTGGACTTTCCTAATGCAAGGGCTTCCGCTCGACAAGTGGCAAAGTTGTCGGGGATGTGTGTGGGAACAGGAAAGAGGTCTAGTTAGCTCAGCCTCCTGCCCTCATTACTGCAAGGAACATTCACAACATCCTATAAAATAACCTGAATTCATGGATCTTAAAATTGGAGGACTCGGATTTCTCTTTTTTGTAATTCTCCTACTTTCAGCCTCCAATTAGCTTTGTCATCTTCTCACCCCACCCCACCCCTACTGTGGTAGAGTGGTACAAGACTGCTATCTTGAATTTTGCCTTTCTTTTCTGTTGGCTGAGGAAGATGTAGCAATGAAATATTGGGCTTATTTATCCCTGTGATCCATTTCTCATTCCCCTTTTGTCCTTGTAGACACTCTCGTAAGCGATGGGAACGCTTTGTACATAGTGAAAACCAGCACCTTGTCAGCCCTGAGGCCTTGGATTTTTTGGACAAGCTGCTGCGGTATGACCACCAGTCACGGCTCACTGCAAGAGAGGCCATGGAACATCCCTATTTCTGTGAGTCTTAACTGCACACAGCCTGTGGAGGCTCTCCCATCACTTCCCAGCAGAATGTGAGAAGTGAGGCAGAATGTATGCTGTGAAGAAAGCTCTGCTCCCTTGGTCCCTTTGGAGAGAGCTGCAGTCTAGCTCCTGTTAGCTCCCTGCAAGTTACTTGGCCCACATTGAGCCTCGGTATCTTCAAGTGGACATTGATAGCAACCATTGTGCAAATTTAGGGGGAGGTTTCAAATCTATAAATTTACTGTTTAGAGGGTGGTCTGGAATAGTTGAATTAGAAATGAACAGTACTACATCTGTCCTTTCTCTGGTAATCATTTGTTGGGGAGACCCAGTAAGGCTTATAATATTATAGGTAGACTTTGATTTATGTTTATGACTATAGCTAATTGTGCTATCCTGGATTAAATGCTGCTACAGTGACAGGATTGTTCCCTGAGGAGTGTTGTCTTGATCAAATTAGACTGTATTTGTTTCCATTAAGCCCCAACTTCATGACTACCAACTTAACATCTTAAGTTAGCGCTATTATGGTAATTACCTTAACTTCCTACGATTTGGTTTCAGAGTTTACCTTTGTCACCATTGGACAGAAAAGGTATTTCTGCTTTAAGCTACTTGTCTTAATTTATGGTGAAGGCAATTACTACCTTAAGTTCCAGGAATAATATGGAGTAAGATAAAATGCAAAGTTTGAAGGTGGCTACTATAAGGCCCCCCAAGGCAGGTTAGTTTAGCCTTCAAACAAAACAGAGCCTAACCTTTTGTCTCTTTTCTAGACACTGTTGTAAAGGACCAGGCTCGAATGGGTTCATCTAACATGCCAGGGGGCAGTACACCTGTAAGCAGCGCCAATATGATGTCAGGTCAGTTTGTTGGTATATTCCCATTTAAAATGTAGAAGTCCATTACTGTTAGTTTCATGCCTTCTTTGGGCCTGATTTTTTATGTATCTTCTCTGTGGGATGTCCTTGATGACAGACCGGCCCATGTGGCTTTTCCCATCAGGTCTCAAGGTGCATTTTATACTTAAATTTACTTTAGTGACACTCTCTTGACTATGGAGTGTAATTCATACAAAAAATGTACAATTATTCAAAAGTATCTATAGGCCCATACCCTAAGAATTATGCATTCAGATAACATCCAAGTGGATACACTGGTGATTATAAGGCATTTACTCATATATCCTCAAATGATTGCTGTATTCTTTGTACTGGGGACCAGTGATACCCAGGGCCACATGCATGTGAGGTAAGCATTGTATCACTGAGCTACATTCCCCAGCCATTTCATTTTGGTTTTTTTGTTTTGTTTTGTTTTGTTTGTTTTGTTTTGTTTTGTTTTTCCTGGTGCTGGGAATTGAACCCAGGAGCACTTTACCACCAAGCAACATCCTTGGCCCTTTTTTTTATCCTGAGAGTCTCAGTAAGTTGCTAAGGCTGGCCTCAAATTGCAAACTTCTGATCTCAGTTTTCTAAGTATCTGGGATTATAGATGGGTGCCACTGTGCCTGTCTCAATTTTTTTTTTTTTTTTTTTAAAGAACTAGCTGCCGTTTATTTTTTATGCTCTTAAAGTATTTTACCTATGTGCACAATAATGTACAGCCGAGATTACTTACTTGAAAACAGTTATCAGTAGGGAACTGGTTAAATCAGTTATGGGGCATCTGTTCAGTGGGATATCATGTGGCTATAGAAAAGAATGAGTAAGTGTTTCATGTTCTGTTAGAGATCTGATTCCAAGATAATGGGTAAAAAATTGACCGGGAGGGAGCCTTCATTAAAGAAAAGAGTCCTAGGAAAAACTAGTGACTGCTGTTGCCGTGCTTGGTATCTCTGACTCACTGTTAGCTGTTTTCTTTCAGGGATTTCTTCAGTGCCAACCCCATCGCCCCTTGGACCTCTGGCAGGCTCACCAGTGATTGCTGCTGCCAACCCCCTGGGGATGCCTGTTCCAGCTGCCGCTGGTGCTCAGCAGTAATGGCCCCATCTGTCTACTGATGCCTGAGCAGAGGTGGGGAAGTCCACCTTCTCCTTGATGCAGCTTGCGCCTGGCGGGGAGGGGTGAACACTTCAGAAGCACCGTGTCTGAACCGTTGCTTGTGGATTTATAGTAGTTCAGTCATAAAAAAAAAAAAATTATAATAGGCTGATTTTCTTTTTCTTTTTTTTTTTCTTTTACTTTTTTTTTTCTTTTTTCTTTTTTGTTTTAACTCGAACTTTTCATAACTCAGGGGATTCCCTGAAAAATTACCTACAGGTGGAATATTTCACGGACAGATTTTTTTTCTCCCCTTCCAAATTCAGTTCCTCATGACTAAAGAACAAAGATAAACCAGCCTCAATCCCAGCTGCTGCATTTGGGCGGAGATTTCTTCCCATTCCCACTGTTGCTTCCCCCATCTTCCTACACTTTGGGGGGTTGTATCTCACGCTCTTCTCCAGAGATTACAAAAAACGTAACTTCTCAGGAGGCAGGAAGGAAGAGAGGCAGGGCAGACCCAATCTAAGAGCAATGTACTGCTGGTCACTTACATCACTTTACTCCAGAAGTGCTTCAGTGTGGTTATCCTGGCGACTCTAGTGGAAGCGTGTCTTACTTATGTTGAGATGTTGAATATCTACACAAAGTGCAGACAGATCCTAAAAACTTCTGTTTAGTATGAATCATGTCTTACTGACCTAACCCTAAATCCAGCTCACTTATAATTTTAGTTTTAGTTTAGTTTAAAATTGTGATACCTTCCCTCCCGGGCTCCTTCCTACCTTGATCTTTTCCCCTTTCACCTCCCAACATTCTGTGCTCAATAGCTGGTAGGAGGGAGAAGGCAAAAATCTTTTCATTTTCTTTGACTTGGCCATGTTGAAGTCACTTGGTTACTGGGCATAACTTACTGCTTTTCTCAAAAGAAACATTTTCTATGTAGGTTTCATGATAGCAGCTCTGAGAGCTAATGGGCGGTGAGGCCATGCTGAGTTTCATTTTAAGCTTTCTACCTTCTTTTCCTCCTACCCTCCCTTCCTTTACATGCCATCCAGTGAGAAGACCTGTTCCTCGGTCTTATAAATATATCTAAAAGGCAGGAGCAGAGCCACTATTTCCAGTGAAACAGAAATGGTAGACCTGTAATCGTGGGCCACTATCAACTTTGTTACAGCCCTGCCACCCCTTGCTGTGTGTATATATATAATACTTTGTCCTTCATATGTGAAAGATCCAGTGTTGGAATTCTTTGGTGTAAATAAACGTTTGGTTTTATTTATCAAGGTTAGATTTAAGTTCCCTGTGTAAAGGTCTCGCTGGGTGGGTGTTTCACATTCACATCTGAGGGGCCTGCAGCCCTGTACCATGGAGGCTTCCCAAAGCCCCGGTTTTTATACACCCCTTGTTTGACCCATGGTACTGGGCAGGGCAGAGAGGCCTTAAAAAAGCACCACAAGCCAAAGCGTCTCTGGGGATTAAGGATCCTTTGCCATAAAACTCATTTTGTGTCAGCAGTGCAGGGATTGGGGATGGGAAAAGTCGCCAGTTTTTGTGTGTTTGTGTGTGTGTATAAAGTGGACTTTCCACTGTACTCCAACCACCTAAGTTTATCAGGTGCTTCACTAAGGAAGCCTAGTTTTTTAAGCACAATAGCAAAACCATCAGCTCTGTATTTTCTCCTGTTATTTCATTACAGTAGCTGCTTATGGGAACTAGGAAAAAATTCTTCCAACGTATTTTAAGGCCTAAAATCTTAGTTCCCCATTCTCCTACCTTATAGATTCACGAGCCTTTCTCACCTGGGCATCATAAATAAGCAGTTGTTTAGGGAGTTGACTTTAATGAACTTATCTAACTTTGTAATCCATCTTGGTTTTAGTAACTTTATCAAGATGGTGGCTTTGGGGAATATAATGGTAAACTCTAGAGGAAGCCGATGCCTCCTTTTATAATGCTTCTCAACTGTAGGGAGAGCTGAAGGGAAAACATTCTGACTGTGACAGGATGATTTTCTTCCTTGTAGCCACTTACAGTGATTATTTATTGTACTTGACCCTTTGATGCCCTAGAATGCTGTGAGGGTTACCATGTTGAACTTGTGCAGAAGCTAAAAAGCACCAGATGTGCCAGAGATGCAATTTGTGATTACGTTTGCACTGGATTGTGCTTGAACGGGACGCTTATGATTAATGAATTTTTTTCTTTTGAGGTGGGGGAGGAGGGTTGGAAATCAAGGCTTCACACCCCAGTCTTGTAGCTCAGAAATCTAGTTGTAGCTGAGATTGAAGTGGAGAGCTACAGACAGTGGACCTCCTCATACCTCTCAGATCTTGTGAAAACTGAAGGTGACTGCAGAGGACTCTGAAGTGCCACCAAGAGCCTTTTAAAATACATAAATGTTTTTTAAAATGCCTCTTAAAGAGTCATTGCAGAAGCATGGAGAGAGTTGTTTTTTTTTTTTTAAAGACCCATTTGGGTGGGTGGGTGGGGCAAGGGTTTACAGAGTAACAACTTCTGTGTTGTTGTAAATTACCTCATCTGCATACCTTGTACTGGGACACTATTTCTCAGCACTACCTGTGTCTGCATTGCTTAGATGGCAGGAAACGGAATACCAATATAGAATGGCTATGTTGGCAGTTACTCTGAAAGGGTTTTAACATTTTTTAACCTTGTTTGAAGTGGTCTCTTCACCCCCACCTTTTTAAGTTTAAAGTCAGAAGTCCTCCCTCACTTTGATTTATTGGTTGTAATTGTATTGTAATTGGTATAACTAAATTATAACTGTGCTGGGAAGAAGTTGTGCCATGAAGGTCTTTAATTTTTTTTTTTTTAAATAAAAACATTTAAATAAATGAAATGTCCCTGCAGCCTGAGCAATATGCTTCTCCACCCGACACCGTGTGTGCTTAGATAGCTTTCACTTGGTTTAAATTTAGTATTGGGTTGATGGAGATGACAAGTGGAATTGAGATTGGTTGATAAGCTTGGCAGTCTGGGAGTTTTTGACCTCAGGGTACCATGAATGGAAAATGATGTTGTTGCCAAACAAGACTGTTCAGTCCTCCCCTTCTCACATACTTGGTTACTAGGCAAACCACTTCACTTCTGAGTTAGTTTCCTCTATTAAATGGAGCCTCTGATGCCTTGGAATTTAGTGACAGTATATGCCAAGTGTCTGGTACCTGTTAGGCCCTCATAAACCTTATTCCTCTGGCCCTTTGCTATGGAGTATTAGTCCTTGGTCTTGACTTGAACTGTAATTCCCAGTACAATCTCTGGCAAAGGCCCTTCCTTAGTACCTCTGTGTGTATTTAAGCTAGGGGAGACTGAGGTGTCTTCTGAGATCTTTTTCAGCTCTGACACTAGTTTTACAAAGTTTAGCACTTAAATACAAAGGCTTGTTTTAGCAGAAAAGACCAGTAAGTGGCATAAGTCCTTTGAAGGGTCATCTTTGCAGATAGTCCAGCCCTGGAGGCCACTTGTTAAGTCTTGGGGACCTGGATTGAGTGTGTGCTGGTGGGCTTGTGGGAACATACTTGATGACTTGACCATAAACCATCAAAAGGCTGGGGAAGAGGTAAAACATGTCACTGGCTTATCAATACCAACTTAGTAAAACCCACAAAAGTAGACTTGAATTGCTTTTAATTCTCATTTAAACACAGTTTAAAATCTTGAAATCAGAGAAAATATTAGTATCCCAAATATCTAGTTTCCTTTAAGTGTTCCCTGTGTACTGTTATTTTATGGCCCTGATATGTTGAGGTTGAGATTATTGGGAATTGAGAAAGGTTTGGATATAAGGAACTCTTGTGTAATATCTTGTATTTGAAATTATCCCTCAGGATCCAACTTTTTGAATGTGTACATGAGACAAGACATTACAGTGTGACTGTCAGATACAGTATATTTGATGAAATAGCTCTTCAGAATAGGGCTAAATTACTATAGTCATAAAATAGTAGAGAAAATCGGAGATTGACACAATTGGGGGTTTTCATTTTCTCTTGCTCTTGAAATTTCATTTTCACCTATTAAGTACAGTTATAATTAGAACTGACCATTGAGAACATCCTGAAAATCTACTTTTGTCACCACCACCTACAGATTCCCACCAGCAGATTCTGTCCCAAGATTAGAATTAGGTGTAAGGAGTTGTTTATTAATCACCAGCCCTTGCCTCCCTTGTGCTTCAGCTTTAGAGACTGTATGGTCCTAGGTAACCCAGGCTGGCCAGGGCCTATTCCTGGTGAAGGAAAAAGTTCACCGAAAGGCTCTGAAGTGGTCTTCAGTCCTGCCTCAGAGAACATGTCTAAAAACCTTGATCCTAACTCATCTAAAGTGATCTCCCCTGCTTTTCCCACTGCTGTTTCTACCCATGTTCTTTTTCTTCATAGCATGTGGAGGCAAGCACTCTACCAACTGAGCTATATCCCTAGCCCCATACCTAAACTTTTATAGGATTATTGTTTCTTCTGGCCATAAACTTTTCATTTAATACTTGGCCTATAAACTTTTCATTTAATACCTTTTCATTTAATTATCTTTCCACATACAGGTACACTTGATTACCTTGCATGTCTTATCTGGGCATCCTTATAAAAAGCTGCTGCTTTTTTTATTAAAAAAAAAAAAGAAGAAGAAGGCCCATCATCCCTTAAGATTTAAGAGGACTGGATGGAAGAGCATGATTCTTAAAAATAGGTAGTTCCTCCTACACTCCTACTGTCACCATCATTGATTCCCCCCACACACAAAATAAGTAAATGGAAGTATTGTCGCATAAAGAGCATCTCAATATTATAAGGTGATATCCTTGCCCTGAGGTTTGTATCTGTAATTATAAGCCATTAAATAAGCTAACATAACAAGAAAATATTTCATTAAATGATCTCTAGTGAAATCATAGATGACTAAAGGCTTAGCAAAGATCGTAGTCAAATTAATAGACTAAAATGCTGCAGTCTCCCTACTTTCTACCACTTGTATGTAGTAAGACATGTACAGAAGGTGTAAGGATAATTTTGAGTCAGAGTTCATCTTGTTTTATTTTGGTGCTGGGGATTGAACCCAGGGGTGCTTTACCACTTAGCTACAGTCCTCCTTATTTTGAGACAGGGTCTTGCTCAGTTGCTGAGGATGGTCTCAAACTTGTGATCCTCCCTAGTTGCTGACATTAAGAGCATGGGCCACTGTACCCAACTTGGAATTCATTTTACATAGATAAGTACTTTATAGACTGTGGTGAATTTAACCACTTCAGAGAAGCAGCTTAGTAGGACCACAGATTCCCTGCTTCTAATCAGCTCTGGCTAGATGATTTGGGTTCAGTTACTTAACCTCTCTGAATATTTACACAAGTGACTTATTATAAAACATTTTTACATGTGTATCAGATTTTAAGGAAAGCTGTAACACACCCATAAACCTGCTACCCAAGTTAAATCCTTATTACCAATACAGATGGGTCCTCATCTTCCCTTTCTCGTCCTTCTTGCCCCAGAGGTCCTAATATTTTCTTCAGCATTAAAATTAGGGCAAAGATTGCTGTTTTATACTTTGATAGTTCACATTTAGATGATAAATATGGAAAGTGTCCAGCACAGTGTTAATCATACAATAGAATTGGACCAGATTTTCCTTTCTACTTTGATTTGTCTAGTTGTGTAGAGTATGTGTTGAAAAGGATGCCTTAATTGTAGAGATCTCATGATTTGTGTGTTTGGGATTTTTCTTACTATTTTCCAGGAGATGGCAGTATTTGCCAGAAAAAAAATAATAATAATTTGCATTAAACCTGACGGGTTTTGAACAGATGTAAGTCGAGTTTCTGATTTGTACAAAGGCCACCATTGTCCCCTCTTGAAGTTCTATCATTCTGAATTTTAAACTTCTCTGCTGAAAGCCAAGTTTTTTTTCGCCATAGCTAGCTACAAACAATTTTTCTCCCTGTGGCCACAATCACCAGGGACTCTTACTGACCGCAATGTAAGAAACTCTTCCCCAGGTATCTCCAGATTGCCAATCTGTTTCTTGGAGAAGTACCTAAGGGATTTGAATATTTCTGAGTCAGCAACAGTCTTGCATCACCTGCTTTGACAGAGTTGTCTTGTCTCCTCTAATGAGAGAAAGGAAAAATGCAGCAGCTGGTAAGTGGCATCCTGATCCGGCATCTTGTGAGTCCCTCTCAGCAGCCATAGAGCAGCATTTGTATTCAGACCTTGCTTCTGTGTATTGAGCAGTTGGGAGCTTCACAGTGAAATTTTTACAAAGAAGCCTA